GTGCGTGCGTGCGTGCGTGCGTGCGTGCGTGCGTGCGTGCGTGCGTGTGTGTGCGTGGGTGCGTGCGTGTGCGTGTGCTCGAGTGATTTTTTCGGCACCTCACCATGCCAAGAAGACAAATCAACAGCTGATCGAGCTTCAAAGAACGCAGGAAACATCATCCAATTCAGGGTGTCCTCCGGTGTCCCCCTGAACCATTTTACAGGTCCTGGTGTTCGGAACACCCCAGGGGTTGAAGGCCCCTAAGGCCCTAAGGAGGATAGGAATCACCACCAGAATAGGCGAAGAGGAGAAATGATCTGTGGGAAACTCACAGCCGAGCCAACCAACAATGTGTGCGTCGCGTCTGCTCTGGAAATGCGTTGTTCCATTGTCATAGTCGTTTGCATGAAGATAAAAGAATATGTACAGACTTGCGTCTGGAAGACGCATCGTGAATACGGAAAAAAGAACTGAGACTTTGGGGTGAAAAATCCTCGATGTTTGTTCCACTGATGGACTTCATGCTACAAAGCTATACGTACTCCCTAAAAGATCCTAATAGGCTGGACCTTTAGAAGGTGAAACATGAAACCCTTTTTGATGTTCTTCTGACCCGAAGTTTATCTCTCTGAAGAGAGAAGGAAGGCGAGTAAGGAGCACCTAGTAGCGTCCTTGCTCCTAGTAGCGATGCCAGGAGCCCCTAGTAGCGTCCTTGCTCCTAGTAGTAAGGCCAGGAGCCCCTAGTAGCTTCTTGTTCCTAGTAGTAAGGCCAGGAGCCCCTAGTAGCTTCTTGTTCCTAGTATTGCCATATTGCTCAGTTAGAGTGGTCGATTGGCTCAGTTGCCCGTCAGCCCGGCCGTCAACATGAAAAGCGGTCGGGCACGGGCGACATCGGCGGCATCTGCACCTGCGTGGGGCGTTGAGATCTTCTCGGTCCTACCTACGCCGGTTATCAATCCTAGCCTGTTCCCGGATTCCTGGCCCACCATGGTGTTTAATGGCCTGAAATATTGAACAACCATTGTTTTAATGAGGATCTTACACAACAAAATCAGGTCAACCATGGTTTGAATGGTTTTTGAAGGCTATACGCCAAGCTCAATGCCGGCGTGCGTGGCCCTTTTCTATGTCGAAAGGGCTGTGGGACACTTTAGCGAGGCCTTGTTTTCTTTAACTTAGTAAACGAACCAAGCCTGAACGCTCTGAGTGCAAGCAAGCAAAAAGAGCTTGCTTAAGGCTGGGGATGTTTGAAGATCCGAGTCGCTTGTAAAGGGAGGAACTTCCCCCTTTATCGCAGGTAGGCGAAGACCGGAACTCATGAACTCATGAGTCAAACCTTTGGCGGCCATGCCATGGCTGCTCACCCCAAGCTGTTCTCTCTAACAGACGATCCAAACACAAGACGTGTATATCCGAGTCGCAGAAATGCATGGCTTAGTCAAATTCCTCACAGCACTGGAAGAAAAAGTATGTCCATATTCAAACCAAGGGGTCAACAACACCCAGAACCTGCTTGGTGTCCAAGCATGAAAGGACAAGCAAAAGGACCAGCTGCATGGTGTCCACCACCACACCGTGGCTTCGTTCGTTCGTTCCCCTGGAATCCAACGCTCCATCACCATCGGGACACACATCAAAAGCCCCTGAATCCTGCTTGGAAAATCACACATCATTCACCCACTGAGGAAAAAACACCTGCCCTAAGAATCAAGGACCCTCAGTTCGGTGAAGGTTTGGTTCGGGTCCAAACCCCTGCGTTCTGCAGGGTCCAAACCCTCCATAGGATCCAATGATTGTTAGGGTGCAAGCGTTTCAGAACCTACCGCCGAAGAACCGAACCAACTTCGTCTTGTCGGATCGACTTTTGAGTCACCGAACCGTCGGATGTGCTCATCGATGAGCGAGAAAACGCGCGCGCGCGCCATGAGCGCGCGAGCGCGTTTGAGCAAGCGCAAGCAACGAAACAGGAGTGGAACTCAGCCTCTCGTTACAGGCTTACCCTCGAGGATGGTGAACAGCGATGAGGCTCGGTCAAAAGCGAGTCTCAGAGCGAGGTCCGCACTCGTTGGTCATTGGTTCCACTGTCCAAAGGCGGATGGTTCTCCCACCTGGCTGGGTTCCGCAAGCCACACCTGGCTGCCGCGAGCTCCTTCTCCGTAAGCTGAAAAGCTCGGTGCCGCTCTGCTGAGCCAGTCGACCATTTTCCACATGCACAGCCTGCAGATCTGCAGCCTGGGCCCAAATCTCCTCCCATTCGATGGGGCAAACCCAAGCCTCCTTCAAAGTCACCTTTTTCATGCCCTGGTGTCCTTGAACTGCTAAACAGCTTTCGATTGCTTTCGATCTCTTTGTATGAAGAGCTTGATGTGATGAGATCTTGCAAGGCGCAGCTTGATGAGATTCCTGTAAAGCTTCCAAACGGCCTTTCCAGGTGCAATAAAGTTATATTAAGATTGTCGCCTGGAAACCAAACAAACACTCGTTATGTAAATGATCTCAAGCAAGCCATATCTACCAGCAGTATCCAGCAGTCACAAAGGGGTGCCGAACTTGGAGGATAGGGGTGCCCATGATCCACTCACTGGATGGGACTAAACACCACCCCGTCTTGTGACTCCTGGTATTGGAACAACCATTTGTTTCTGCTTGGGTTTCCACGGTGTCTATAAAGATCACTCAGTGGATCCAAGCTTAACCACTATAATAAGCTGGTAACCAGCAGTTCCAGTTCGACCAAAACCCGGACCAAACGAGGGCTCCTGGTTCCACAGGCGGCCTGAGATCCTCTGGGTACCTCTCCATTGATGATCTGACCTGCAATAAGAATGCCCGAAATCGCTCGAAGACAGCAGGACGAGTCCTCCAAAGCCTTCACTTATGACCTGCTCCAACTCTTCACCTCCCGAAACCCACCACGGCCACCAAGTCGGCGACCGACCGCCGTGCCGTACGGACCGCACCCCGCACCTCGCTGGGCTGGAGGAGGGGCAAGGCTCGCAGCGCTTGGAAGTGCGCGATCACATGCGCCTCCAGGCGCCGCTGCACTCCTGCGAAGCGGGAGCCGCTGCTGGTCACCCGACGTTTTCGAGCAACTTGTAAGGGATCCAGTCGTACCGAACCTCAGGTACGGTGATTGGAGACACATTATGTAGGCGCCAGGAGGGTCCAAGTACCTTCTGAGAAGGTACGGCACTGGTTACGAAGCCAGCGGGAGTCTTTTTCCAAGACAAGCCCCTTCGCCTTTCAGCGACCCGAAGAGGGGAACCCTTTCAACGAGCCATCGGGGTTTAGGGTCATGGTACGAGTATGTTGTGGTGATGTTAACTCTTATCGTACTACTCTCCCTGGAACTAACATGGAAGTGGATGGCACCACCTGTTTGTTTGTTGGAACATGGTCTTCTGAACTCATGGCCATTCTCCACGTAACCATGTTAGTTCCAGGGAGTGTATAACACTACCATCGTGCAGATGCTGGTTGGAGGAGTTTGTGCATGGACCTTAGAGGAAGTGGTTGATGTGTAGTTGATGTTGTCTACTGAATTCAAGGATCTTCAGGCGATTTGTCCTCCCGCCCCAACTCCAAAGGCGCTGGTAGGTGGATCGTCAGAGGCAAAGAACGAACCGCTTCGCGAGGCGAAGATGGTGAACCACTTTCGGTCCAAAGATGCCAACCCGGCGTATTCTGCCACGGCAGGGAGGAGAGAGGAGGGAGGAGGGAGGGGAGAGACAGAGGTGGAATCCAACCACATCATGGCGCAAGAAACTCACAAAGACACCAGGTGCTTTGGCATGTTCACGGCATGTTCAGGAGTAGAGTTGTTTACTTTGGGTGGCTTTCTTCGGATGGTATCAAGACAGTCTTCATGAGGGAAGCCTGAAACCCATTGTAAAGGCCGTGAAGCCAGCTGCGGGTGTTTCCTGAAGGATTCCGAAGGATTACAAACCCAGTCCCAACCGGAGATAACTGGTTGTTCCATTAGTGGCGCCGGCGCCAGAGATCCTTTACATAGGATCTCTGGCGCCAGCACTGGGGAGTTCCATCCAGAAGTGTTTCTGGTTGGTTTCCTGGGCTTCCAGGGTTGGGTCTCACAGGCCCCCCTTCTTCGCGAAGCGGTTCGCTGCGCGAGGCGTGTGACGGCCCGTCTCCTTCCAAGTGCTTGATGCCTTTCTTCAAGGCATACAAATCCACGGAACGGGCGGGCCCATGAAGCTGCATGCAACGCTCCTGAAGGAGGCGGGCGGGCAGAAATGAAGCTGTCCTGCCAACCGGTCCCGACCTGACACCGACACCGGAGAGACTGTGTCGGACCAACCGAACAAGTCACAGAAAATATCCAGAACATTCTCGTCTGGTTGATGTTTTCAGTTTTCAGCCCAGTTTGAAAAATATGAGTCAGAGGGCCCAATCATCCCTAAGTAAGGGTTGAACATTCACATATCCGAAACCAGCACCTAGTTCTCACCGGATGTGAGAAAGAAGACCTGGTACCTGGGAGGTCCTTTGGTGTTAACCCACAACCGACAACCTGACACCATTTCATTTCATGGGCGCGCAGTGCAATCAAGCGCAGCGCCTTGGCTGGGGGAATTTGTTGACTGCATGCACACCAAGAAAAGAGAAAGCATGTTTAACCTCTCACTCCGCCCCAAAGGATCAACCCTCAGTCTGGGATCAAACCCGAACTCCTCACCACTCCTCACTACTCCTCACCGGCGAAAAGCGCGGTGTTTTTTCTGCAAAAGCCGAGGTTCCATGAACTCGTCCACGCTAATGGTGTGATCGCCATCCACATCCAAGCTGTCGAAGAGAGTCCAAGCCTTGGACAACCGTCCGACAACCAATCACCAAGCAGTTGACCTTTTTGGGGGACCACCAACCCCCGCAAATACCTGGACCCGACTTCAAGTACCTTAGAAACTGGGACATGACCCCACAAAAACAGGTACTTGTACCCATTGAACCCGAGGTACGAACGGGTCGACTCCAGGTATATGCTATATACCAGGACCATCCAACCATCTGGGTGTCCTGGCTGCACTACCCAGCCCACTACCTGGTCTGGATCTCCAGCCACACCCGTTCACTGCATGGTCCAGGTAGATTCTCTCCGAAACACTACGGATGGACACTGGCCCCCAAGAGATATCCGTTGAACCTGGGGTCATGAATCTGTTCAATTGGAGTCACCTAAGAAACACCTCCAGTCTCATGGCTCGTGTAAGATGTATACGAGCTTTTGTTCAATCCAAATGGCCGGGGGTCAAGAGTCCACCTTATAGGCTATGAGGTCCGTTTTTCGTGCTTCGTTCCGAGTCAAGTGCTCCGCTCGACCGGACGGACCGAGAAGAAGTGGCATCCAAATCCGAGCATCCCAAGCGCCGTTGGACCGAGTTTAAACCATTTAAAGGCGACTCCCTTTCAAGAGGTCCAACCTCCATTCATGGAATGATCTTAACGAAACAACCTACCCTTGTTATTGACAAAGGATTTCAGACGACGAAAAAAAACATACGTGTCGAGCCCCCTTCGTCTCGAAGTGGATTGAATTGTTTGGGGTTTCTTCATGAAGCCCTGTCACACATCTTCTGCTAAGGGTTGAAACCAATCATGTAGGCGGGGCTTATTAGTATATAGTCTAGTAACTTGTTTTCGTATCGATATCGCAAATCAGTAACAATAAAACCACAGGGGCGAACAGGGTCTTAGAGTTTTCCGTCTAGAGAGGATCTTCTGCCCTCCGCAGGCGAGGCCTCTTCGATGACGGAAGGGTCGGTGACCGGGGATCCCATTGAGACCAGCCATGGCCATGGCCTCCAACCTTCTAGCGATGGCCTCCAACGTAATGGCGATATGGCTCATGATGTTGTCCTTTTCTGTTTGAAAGGGAATCTCAACTACTACGAAGTGGTACCTGGCCGCAACAGGCGGTACCCTTTCTAAAGAGGACGAGACAGGGTGAACAATTGGTCAAAAATACATCCTTTCTGGAAAAGGAGTGTTCCTCTCGAGGAAATTTCACCTTTGGTCGATCCCAAAAATCTCTTTCTGAAACATATCCCAGACGATCCATAGGCGGCGCAGTTCTATCGTCTACATGTGGTGGTTTTTGATGGTGAAGGTATAGGTCATATTTACTTATACTATGATTACATATGATTAATATGGATCGTTTGGGTATGTTACACCTTATAGTTCCAGGTAGTTCTCCTACATCTCCTAAGGGCTCCCCGTTGTGGCCTTCGCTACGTGCCCCCCGGATCTGGAGGCCTTCCGTCGTTCGATCGCTCGTTTCGATCGCTTCTTGCCAAACAGCCCGAGCGTTTGGCTGAGGATTTTACACTACAACGCCAGGTCAACCATTTTCTCAATGGTCTTGGAAGCCGGTATCCAAACCTCATTTTTGGTGGCTCCACAGTTCTCTTAGGGCTCTCAGCCAGTGGTATCACCTTCTCAGGGCTCAGCTTCTGAAGTGGAGAAGTGAAAGCCCGGAAAGCCTGGAATCCAGGGCACATCGACAGCGTTGATCTCAATCGCGGAGAAGAAGGCCTTCATTGATTCGTCCTCGAACATCCTGAAGGAAGAACATCGGCCCGATGCCAATCCGCCACCATTCTAGGTGCTTCTCGTCCGACCAGACGTTTTTGCAAAATGTTTTCATATTGTTGTCACAGGCCGATGTGTCGTGTTTGCCCAAGTTCGCCGTCAAACGTCACGAAGCATGAAGGTTTCTGAAGTCCCACCACATCCTACTCTGAGACATGCTTAAATCGTCGTAATTTCTTTAAGTATCTCTTATAAACCATATCATGTCCTTTTGGAGGGCCATGATGTTTAGCCGTCACAGGATCCCTCCTGCATGTGAAACTTGGTGGTTCAGGCAGCAGGACGATTGTCCCTGGAATGATATGCCCGTCAACGAGCTGTCCAAAAGGTAACAGCACTGCGATGTTCTATCAGTGAATATGCTTGATCAGCTGAGTTGGTTGCGTATCCAGCTGCCAACAAATCGGATGTGCTTGGTGTGGACTGTCCCCTTATACCTTGGTGTGGACTGTCCTCTTATGGACCTTCCAACAGGTGTTTTTTGGACCGCAAACGACCTGCCAAGCCAATCCGCGCACTCCTGCGCCCTCGCGACGGCTGGAGGAGTCGAATACCCTTTTGTGCTTTGCTTTTCTTCAGTCATTTGTCCATCCAACTGTTGCTTCCCCGCTCGCGGGATTCATCACCCGCTGGGGTCGCTGGTCGCTGGAAGACCTGTTGCACAGGGTCGGTGTCCCGCCGAAGGGCCGTTCAAACTCGGTGATGGTGATCTGCCCGTGCCCATCCACATCCATCTTACCTCAAAGCCCCGGTGCTTTGACTGTGCAGAAAAAAAACGAACCTCGGGTGTTGCGGGTTTCGTTTGGTTGGAATTCAGCTCCCCTTGGATAATATTCAATGTCAATGGATGTTCAGAAGTCAATTCATAGTCATCACTAAGTCCATATTTTGGGGTGGTCAGATGCAGAACTGCCTCGTGACTGGCGCCATCCTCTTTAAGAGTCATCCAAGACTACCCTCGGAGCTCACGACCGTTAAAGTGAAAATTGTCTTTAGGATGTCTTTAGGTGACCCTAAAGAACTCTAAGAAGTTCCTTCTACACCCCGGTGGTGCCCCCCCAAAAAAAAACACGAGGACTTCAAGAGACAATGACCATCCCCTGACCCCGATGAGTCTCCTCAGTCTACGCACCGGACGAGCATCGATGCACATCGTGCGTCCACCGACGGAAGTAAAACCACCAAGCTGGACCAGAAGAAGTATGAAGTATAGCGAGAAGCTGAGCAGTCAAAGTAAAACCACAGAGTGTTTTGGAAGTCGAGTCTACCTCGACCATCCTGGACATGGGTGGCTGGAGATCCAGACAAGTAGTGTAGCAGTCTAGCCACGACACCGTCCAGGATGGAAGATTTTGCCAATCCATGGGACTGGAAGATTGACCTATACGGATCCGAGCAAAACATCTATACCTAGATCTTCCAATGCACAAATATCTGCCTTTGGGGTTGGTTTTGTTCATGAAAAGGCAGACATGTTGGCATTGTTAGAAGATCTAGGTATAAGACATCTTAAAAGCAAAGACCTAACTTAATGTAGACTCTTGATTATAGAAGAGGTTTGTCAATCCAAATGGGATGGTTGAAACCTGGTTGATCCTGCCAGTAGTCATTATGTTTTTTTCTCAAAGATTAAGCCATGCATGTCTCAGCATTTACTCAGCGAAACTGCAAATGGCTCATTACAACAGGTGAATTTGATGGTCGCTGCTAGATGGATAGCTGTGCTATGCTGTGCTAATACATGCGTCCAAGCCTAACGTTGCAGAAGCTTTCTGTTTATTAGATATTAGATACAGAACCAACCCAGGCTCCGCCTGGTCATGTGGTGATGCATGATAACTCGACCAATCGCGTGGCTTCAAAGGCCTGAAACGTGCAGAGGTGTCCTATGACATCAAAGACGTAGAAAATCTAATCGCAACCATCTGAGATCAGACTTGAGAGCCTCCAGGTTGCGCCATGGGGTGTTTTTGCTCCAAATGTGCTTCCGCCTCCCAAGAGAGGTTAACTGACCTGAAAAAGGACCAGACTAGCTAGGGTACCTGTGGGATAGTCAAAAGGGACCCACCTCTCTTGGTCGACTTCGAACGAAATCCACGATCGACTTCACTGCAGCTGCTGCGGCACATCGACCGCTTGGATCCAACCCCCCACTGTACTCAGACCCCCTCACGCTACTCAGCGGGCCCTGCCCCCCTCCCCCCCCCCCCCCACCAAAACAAAGGACACCATACTGAAACGCTGGCTTCCCACCGAACAACCCACCACGACTTCAACGAACCACCCACCGAGTGGTCTCACGCCGAAAACGAATGTCTCACGCCCCACCCGTCGGGGGGCTCCAGATCTTTGAAACGAGGTCTTTGAAACGATTCTTGTTCTGGATCAACGTCTCGTGATCGCGCTCCTCGATATGGTCGGCGAGGGTGAGGTGATTGAGTGGTGAGCTCTGGTCAACTCGGTCTTGTCAGGGAATTTTTTGGGGGGGGGTTGTGTTGAAAACGGCGTGTTGTTGCTTCCCTTTTCTTTCCCGTGAGGACCCGAAAAGGGACCGGGGATGTAGGGGAGCCGGGTGCTGATTCCTTTCAACGTCCACCCTTTGTGGATTTCAGCGGTGTGTTCAGCGGTGTGTGGGCATACCTGCACCATCCAATGGGTGTCCTGGCTGGACTACCCAGCCCACTACCTTTAGGTCTCCAGCTAGGACACCCCTTGGATGGTCCTGGTTGAGAAAACTGATGGACTGGGGGAGACCTCTTCAGCCCGTTCTCGCCGTCGCGAATCCTGACTTCCGCCGCGTATCGCGTATGGAGCTGGGAGGAAGCTTCCAATGATGCATAATATATATATATATTAGTTTTCTATCTCTTCGTCCATATTTGGCCCAGCAAAAAGGGCAAACACACGCAAACACTGTGTGTGTGCACAGTTGAAAGATCCATATAGTATGTTAAAGGGCAAACACATATTGTTATAGTGGAAAGATGTATGATCCATGTGAAAAATGCGTTCCATGGTGGGGCTTTGTCCCACCCGCTCGACTCCCGACCTCCGCCTGGTACCCGTAAGCAGGTCGGCACCCGACCCCAACACAACCAGAAACCAATGGATCCGAGAGCAAGTGGTTGGGACTGTGGACACATCCCATTTCTGGTTGTGTTTGGGGGTTCCAGGTATATGAACGTTTCTGTTCCAAACGCTTCAATAAACGAACACTTGGAAGCGGCGTGACCAAAGCTTGTTGTATCATGTATCATTCGAAAGCCATGGGGGATGGCTGCTGTGCCAAGAAGGAAGTCTTATGGGACCCGTTGGGCCCATGTTTCAAAGGAAACGCTCTGCAACGCAGAAAGCCTTCAACAGCATCGATCTCCTGAAACTGGCGGTGCTGAAAAAAAACGATTATATACCTAGCACTTCCAACGGGTGCCCTATGGAGACGCAAAAGTATAGGGTAGGGTAACTGGTAGGGTAGGTTATTGGACACCCAGACAGGATGACCCTGATACCTTTTTCTTTCCCCCAAACAGTGTGGGCACACTGAGGGGTTCTTACGGTAGTGGAAAGCAGCTGATGCTTAGATCGCTGAAGCGCACCGGCGTGAACGGCCAATTCATTGCTATTTACAGTACATTCATGCCTCTCGACATCGTCCATGTGCATTTCGACTGCGCAGGCTCGCAAAATCTGCCTGCCGGCAGCGGGAGCTTCTAGCGACTGCGCTCTCGTTGTGGCGCCGTGCGCATTTTGGTACATTTTCGTGGCAGGCGCAAGGGAAACCTCGTGTTTTTGGTCCAGGTGCAAGGGATCGGAGCTGTTTTACTTCGAAATGCAGTTTTCGTGGCAGGTGCAGCACTTTGGACATGGTGTGTGGCTCGTTTGCGCAGATTTCGTGGCAGGTGCAGCACTTTGTGCAGATTTCGTGGCAGGCACAGAACTTGGTCGACCTGGAAGTGCAGATTTCGTGGCAGGCGCAGCACTTGGTGAACCTCGAAGTGCAGATTTCGTGGCAGGTGCAGGACTTGGTGAACCTCGAAGTGCAGATTTCGTGGCAGGCACAGCACTTGGTGAACCTCGAAGTGCAGATTTCGTGGCAGGCACAGCGCATGGTGAACCTCGAAGTGCAGATTTCGTGGCAGGCACAGCGCATGGTGAACCTCGAAGTGCAGATTTCGTGGCAGACACAGCACTTGGCAGGCGCAGTACTTTGTGCTCTCAGATGCTCACTCTCTCACTCTCCCACTCTCACTCTCCCACTTTCACTCACACTCACACTCCCTCACACTCCCACTCTCACTCTCACTCACACTCGCACTCACACTCACCCCCCCCACTCTCATTCGCACTCACACTCACTCACTCTCACTCACACTCATTCTCATCCCTCACACACTCACTCACTCTCACACTCTCGCTGACACTCACACTCCTCACACTCACACCCACTCACTCTCCCACTCGCAGACTCTCACTCGCTCTCACTCACACTCGCACTCACACTCACACTCACTCACCCGCACTCACTCTCACCACACTCACTCTCACTCACACTCACTCACTCTCCCACTTTCACTCACACTCACACTCCCTCACACTCTCACTCTCACGCACACTTACTCTCACCCACACTCACTCTCACTCACACTCGCACTCACTCACACTCACTCTCCCACTCTCACTCACTCTCACTCTCACACTCCCTCTCATCCACTTCATCACCACCATCACCTCTCTGGACCCCAATGCGTCTAGATCTCTAGACTTTCTGCTTACAGACCTCACACACACTGTTTGGGGTCTCTTGCCGGCATAAGTTGTCTCAATCTGCTTCACCAGTTCCGACCGTTCCGTCCCGTTCCAAGGCTCGCGAGTCTTGATCGCACTGTTCACAAACACCCCGGTCATCACGTTGAGTACCTCGGTCGCCGTACCGTTTCGGGTACCGTTGCGGTCGGGACTTGGACTCCAACGGCGAAGAACGGTGACCGGTTCGTGAAAGACAGGGAAAGGTCCCATGAACGTCGTCTTTTTGGGAGGGCGAAGGGAAAGGTCCCATGAACAGACAGGATGGTGCCGAACGGGATCTCGGAGGGGTCGTCAGAACATGTCAGAACGTGAAATGAAGTGTACTATAACTCACCGCAAAAACTGAATGCCAGGGGTCACAGCGGGGGGTGCTGTTTAGTCCTATAAGTGAGTGGACCAAATGGGCACCCCTATCCACCAAGTTCGGCACCCCGTCGAACGTGACTCCTGCTGTGTCAATGAGCGCCTTCTTGGAGCGACTGTCCGGGCCGGACTCTCCGAGTGGTGCGGCTTGGCGTCGGCAAAGCCACAAAAGGCGATGTACAAGTGGAAGACCTGTCGGTCAACGAGATGCCGCCGACGACATGTGGAAGATTCTTGCCGCCTTCACCAGCACTGACATGTGGAAGCATTCGGAAAAGGAATGGAGGAAATTGGGGTGGGCATCCCATCAGCCTTGATGTGTACAGTTCTCTCCTCAACCTTTCTGAATCCCGTTTGGCGCTCCAGGTCAAGACGGGTTTGCTTGGCTGGAGCAGTTGGCCGGGAGAACGACGAGCCCATATGCCAGGTGGGTCCATCTTCAGATATTTGATTGTACTATGAATGAATGTTCAAACAGGGAAACCCTCCAAATCAGACCCCTCAAAAAAGAACAAACGGACTCAAAAAAATATACCAGCACCCTCCAACAAGTGTTTCCTGGTGACAACAGGTGTCCAGAAACCACCTGTTAGGGTCTCCAAACAGCCTGTTGGAGGGTGCTGGTATGTGTTTCTTAGAACATCTTTGGTGTCTCCTCTTCTGATGCTCAGAGAGCCTCTTGTGAAGCCTCGAATGACTCTGGGTTTCGTCTCTCGGCTCCTCCGAAACATATCCTCCCTCGGCTCCCTTCAGAGATGTGCTATCTGTGAAGGGATCCGAGCTGCCTGACGCGATCTGAGTTTGGGTGGAAACTCCTGCGAGCACCCTCCAGGCAGGTGTTTCTTGATGACAACCATTGTCCAGTAAACCATTTGTGTCGGGTTCCAAAACACACAGCCTGGTCAGGAGGGCCCTGGTGGCCACATGGACCCTTGGGGCAATGATGGAAGACACCTTCGAAGATTCGGAAAACTAGTGATACATTCATTCAGCGCTCGATGTTCCTTTCGGTATAGATCATGTCTCAGAAGGCAATGTGACCCGGATGAGTCAGGATGAATTCGCATTTGCCCTCGAGGAAAAAACCTAATATCTATACCTGGACCATCCAATGGGTTTCCAATGCAGATCCCTAAGTAGGGTGGCCCAGCCAGAACACCCAGACAGGATGGTCCTGGTATGGATCCCTCAAAGCTGCTCCCAAAAACTATAGAGATGAGAAAGCCTTGGAAGAAACGCACGTACCGCGTATACCGCGTAGTATTGACCTTCACCAACCGGTGAGCTGACTGAAAAGCCCCCTGCCTGGACCCAAATCCAGCCCACAGGTTCCAGTGAATCCGCTGCCCAGGCCCAATCAATGCCGCCCAAAATGGAGCGAAAAAGCGTGATCACTGACCTCAAACCGGACGCGGACCAAAGTCGCGAAGACCAAGGCTTCTGACGTGCAACGGATTCTGACGTCGCACGACGGTGCCACGCGGAACGGAGCGGGGCTGGTCTGGAGCCGGGTTCACGGACAGATTTTAAGGAGCCGAAGAAGGGATTGGAGTGAAAACGTACATCAGCATTTGATCCAAAAACAACACGCCCAATTCCACGCTGCTGGAGTTCATAAACGTAGTGAGATAGTATTTCGCACACCTAGATCTTCCAACTGTGACCAATGTCTGCCTAACTTGGCTCGTTTTATGGATGAAAAGGCACAATTTTTTGCACAGTTGGAAGATCTAGGTATGGCACAAGCGGCCGCCCTTGCTGACTTCCTCTTGGCCCAGCGACATGATACAACTGCCACTGCTATGGCGAGACCATTTTGAGGCGTTCACCCATGTAAGTAGGGATATGACATTCCGGCCAAAACAAGCTAGCCAGATCTGAAGGCGCCTCGGCCTGTCTTTGTCGAACGAAGTGAACGAGCTCCCTCCGGTGCCCTCCGGGGCCCTCCGGTCAAAGGTCGATACATCGCACACGCGGACGCACGGAAGACCACCTGGTCTCTCTACTAGGTGGAGGCCATCGCTACTAACAAGAAGCTACGAACGTAACTAGAACCCTAGACTTCCATTCGACCTGGTTTCTGTTGTGTAAAATCCTTCGTTGATTCGGGATTCAGCCTATTAATGGTTGTTGAGAAGCTTCCTTGAAAATCGTTTCACCGGTCGTTCCTCCTCGTTTCAGTCTCGGACTCATCACGTGACGCTGGACCAAAAACGGCTATAAAGCCATGGCCGCCAGCCAGGCCGAAAAAGGCGCGAACTGGACGACATCGACCTGTTCTTGAATTCGTTCTCCTGGATTACTGGGATCCAGGAAAAGACATACATTTGAACGTATGGTTCCGTGGTGCCTAGCAAAACTCTTCCTTCAACAGTCGTTGCTGTAGCGGCTGTAGTAGACCAAACTAAGATACATGATTCGATGATATATGTGTTGATGATGCCGGAGCCAGGCCAGGCTGGCTTTTTACAGCTCCTTGGGGACCAACCGCATCCCTAGTTCATGTAGAATCTTGATATATCTCGTGACTATATTTCAAGCCCCCAAATTAAGAGGTCTACATCACAGCAGGAGTGGATTCTATTTTGCCAGGTCCCCCAGAAGTGTCTGGAAGCTTGGTTCAGTTTTTCTTGCGTGTCTTTGACGAAGGTTCTGTGTCTGTCCCAAGAACTGCCTCCGGGATGAAGCTCGGGTTGGTCCGGCTTCGGAGACCATTGGTCAAGGGAAAAGAACCACTCATCAAAAGGTCATCCCAGGCACTCACCCCAATCAGAAAAAAAAGGAACTACAAGAACTGAACCGAAACCTTTTGGCTCATTTTGGCTCCCCCCTCCCAACCCAACCGAAAAACTAAAAAAAAAACGGCACGCTTTACCCACGGACCGCCCAGGTGCAAGTAAACACTCCCAAAGAATTCCATCTGATCCTCGTGCGGCCCGTTCGAGGCCGAATAGTCAAGTACCGCGTCGGTGAAGAGGATGCCTCGGCTCGGAGCATCCGACCTAGGACCTACGTCGGGTGCCCCGGTAAAGAACGCCCATCTCGGTCCACTCGCCATCTGTGATTCTGGGGGGCCTGAGGTGACCCGGTCACTTCCTGGATGAACTTCAGGAAACTGTCGTCTGAAGTTGGACTTAGGATGACAGATGGAACCCTAGGTCCATCGTTGTGCGATGCGACTACTGAGGCGACCACTTTTGCAAGTCAAAAACCAGCACCCAAAAACCATGTGACTTGAAGTTGACATAACTGATTACAGTAACATGGTCGTTTGGGGTCCAATTCAACCAGGGCCTTTCTGGTGACTCGTATCGCTTTTCCACCTAGCAAACTCTGGAGCATCTACGCACATTATTGAACCTGTGAGCGTGGTGTCAAACAACGACAGGACATGTTTCACCCTTCAGGGAGGAGGACCAGCTGTAGCTACGCGACAAGAAATTCTTCAGAATGCCCCGCTCACTCACCCCCATCATGAGACAGAAACCCTATAGGAGCGACACAGAATATGTGACAGGTGTAGCCAGGCGTAGGCAGGTGCAGTGATGTTCCAGCCGTTCTTCATCCCAGTCACAAAATGGTTGTTTCGGGCGAAGGATGGACATGCCCCAAATACCAGAAGCAAGGGCGAAGCAAATCCATGTTTCAAAAGCACAGCTGAAACCACAGATGCCTTAAAGCATCACCAAGCTTGTATTAGAGTGCTGGCAACAGCTTGATTCACCCAAATAAATGATGGAAAAAGCGATCGAGCTTCGACCCTTCAAGAAGTGAATGCCGAAAGCGACCCATGCAGAACGCGACATGTCCAGACTTACACAGCGACCCACCAAGCTGCCAAAGCTATATTGCACCAGGCCCAGCAAAATCAGTGCCCACAGCAGTTGTCGAGTAGTATCCACTACTGACATCACCAGCGCACGTAGGGCCTGAAGTCGAGGCAACACCTCTCAGCTCCACCGTACTCAGCTCCTCTAGACCAAGGCACCCCCACCCCACGTGTACCGGCCACAGCGACGAGATCCCAACAATGGTCCAAAATGAGTCCAAACCACATGGAGCTACCAACAAAGGTCAAAAAGAGGTCCAAAGGCCTTCTAGAAATCTATAGGATACAGGATACACGCCCTCACAATCTGCTTTAGAGCTTTTTCTTTCCGATTCGTGCCTTTTGACCTCTCAAGAGTACGGCCTGTCGACTTGGGTAGCTGTGGACTCCTCCACAGCTAAAAACGCCCTGAAAAGAATCATATGATTCATATGTTAAAAACGTGGATGGCATGGCACCCGAGGTCGGATGACCATGAAATCCTCTTCCTGCCAGGCTCCGAGCGACCAGCATTCGGCTCGTAGCATTCGGCTCTAGACGGGGCGAAAGATGACGAGGAAAAACCCTGCGTGTCCGAGACCAAACATCCGCTTGGAGGTCCGAGACCCGTCACTGCGGCCCCCGTAGTTACTCCGTAGAGAAGGTGGGTGGCATGTTCACTAAACTGAGACGAGCGCGGCATGTTGGGTTGTCTTGATTCGACCTGATGAGTTGGTAAGATTCAGATCTTCACATCGTCCTTTTTTCCCAAAAACTTTGGCCTCTTGTTGGTTCAATCCTCTTTCCTGCGCGGGAAATAGGAAACATTAGGATTCTGCAGATTCTTATGACTCTAGTTGGGAAGGTGATCTTCCCTTGACTTGAAAAGGCCACAAAAACAACACTTGCAGACGGTTGCTGGAACTACATCGATGCATGCTTGATCTCTACCATGATAATTAGTCTTCAAGTGGCGTGAAACAACTTGTGAGCAACGTGGCTGGGTGCCCAGATCACTCCAAGCAGGAATGATTCATGTGGGGCTTCCCTGTAGCCTTCCTTTCGTTACTATATCTACGCACCCCCCAGACCTTCGGAACTGGACCTACGGAACAGGAACGACCGAAAGCAGTCGTGGTGCTTGAAGCTTTGGGTGAGCCTTGCTTAATAAACCCAGAAGTCACTGGCCCCCCAGGCGTCTTCTTCGAAGTCTTGCAAGCAAACAACCTCCCCCTCACAAGTTCCCCGCGTGCGGAACACCAGTGCCCTCGCCCTCCAGTCGTGATTGCTAAAACCTTCAGCTGCCAGAAACTTTGCTGCTCTAAGTTCAGACTACAGTACCACAGGAGCCAATTCCCCTCCAATTCTTGGGGCTGATTGATCCAGTAGGAGCGCTCATCCTCACCATGCGGACCATCATGGGCCCCACGCACTCATCCGAAGCATCTGAGGGGCACTGATAAACTTCACGATGCGTAAGGACCGCACCACTTGCAGAAGCCTGGAAGGTGTCCGGAAAAAAGCGGCATTCGGTGGAGACAACCAACGCTCGTGAGCGGCGTTCACAGAAGCTGATATTCCGATGTCAACACCTCAGCAACAAACAACGCATCTCCATTCATCATCTACCAGGACATCCAAGGGGGTGTCCAATTGAAATCCATTGAGGAACAAAGCAATCCGCCAATCGACCTGCGAAAAAGACCCATTTCCCATGGACTCTGCACCTCCCCATCCTGGTCATGACGGCCAGATCACCCAACACCCTTTGGATCCGCCGAGGTCCCTGCTATATATTCTTTGCTCCGCCCGGGAAAAAAGGACGACGTCTTTGAACTCACCCCGCCTGGTGACTTTGAAGATCCGGATGATGCGAAAGTTCGAGGCCGCGCCTCCTTCTAAGCCTCGGACAGCGCAACAGACCGAAGTTGCAAAGCAAATGGATGCAATGTACAGCATCTCGACGCTTCTGTGGTGTCTTTTCCTGTGATTTGGCCCTGAGTCTGGGAAAAAGAATACCCTCTTCCAGGGGCAATTTTGGACTTCCGATGATTCTTCCAGGGAGTGTACCTGCTTGCCCTTCTTCAGCTCATCTACCGTACCTTCTAATTGACCTTCGTTACCCGACTCTGGTTTCCCAACAGCGGCTTTCCGTCATCGACCGTCCCCCCCCCTCTCGCTCGATCTCATCGTCTGGTGACAGGACCATCCCTTGAATCATCATGGTACATGGTTACATGGATGGCATGGCCCGGCATGGCCCCCTTCTATCTACAAATAGGTGGTGCCATCCACTTGCATGATCACCGCCCCCAGGACCCTCCAACCAGTTTGTTGGAGCATCTTTCAAGAGGATTGATCTCCTCCGCATCTCTTCCTTCGCTACGTTTCACGCAGGCAGATTCCTCCGGGCACCCCGCCTTGCTCGTCAGTGCTGAGGTCGATGGCCATTTCGATCCAGGCGGGGATCACCACCTGGGCGTCTCAGGTCGAGCACGGAAACCCAGGGACGTGGAGGGCAGAAACCAGACGGTGTTTTTGGGGGTCAGACAGGTGGGGGGTTTCGCACGTTTTTGTGCGTTTTTGCGCAGCCCACAACGGTTCGAGTCTGTAGCGTGTGGGGGATCTTTTAAATGTTGGAATATCCAGTGGACATAGAAGATACAAGCTGGTTGGTGGTGTCAACTCATTTGACAAGTATTAGTTGGGATCCATCATCCCAAGTACAGGTTGAAGATTTTTTAAAGAATCTGAAACCACTCACTCAGCAATTCTGTATGCCCGGCCCGCACGGAAAACATCGAACATCGAACATTCGATCGAACATTCGGATCGAAGCCCTTTTCGTTGTTGAGACAAGTCGATGTCAACCGAATTCTGCAGGAAATCGTGTAGAGTTCTGGCTCCATTCATGGAGAGTGTCTCCTTTCTTGAAAGAAGAACCAACCCCATCCACCAGTCTGTTGGGTCACCGCAAGGGAAGAAGCGCCCGGGCCCCCGCGAGGGTCTGCGTAAGCGGCTCCAGTCGGTTGGGTCAGCCCAAGAGGCCAAAACGTCCAACCAGTTCCAAGCACAGCCTCTTCGACGCACGACGTCCGAGGAATGTGAAGGCCATCAAAAGGCCAGATCAAAAGGCCAGGGGCAGGCGGAGTGTAGATATGATATACATATATATATATATGTATACATATTATATACAGTACAATGAACCATAATGAATCTGTTCACTTACTAAGGTCAGGTATCCCAACATGGTGTCGTGAAACAATTCTCTAGGGTAATCAACAGTTCGACCATCTTGCGGAAGAATGGTGCTGGACGGGTGCAGTTGTAGGCTGTGGCATTGTAGGGTAGCTGCAGTGGGGAACGCAGTGGCAGGATTGCGACCAGTGTGCACAGAGTACCCTCCCTGCAACAAACATACAAGTGGAAGACCTCCTCTTTGTAGCGGAAAATGATCTTTGCAGGGGCCAGACTGTTCACTTCCATGTTTCGAAAAGAGAGATGGTAGATTTGACTGGGAGAACACCATGGGGTGTTGCGCAGTGACTGGGACAAAACATGGCAACCGTGAGAGTTCGACCAGCGGCGCGCTCGCCTTGGGTTGGTTGAAAGGGGATCCATGTAGGAAAATATCCGCACATAGATCGAGTGTCTCTTGGCAAATCGCTTTGCTTTTGCCTTCTCCGTTGAAAAAACCGTCAGACGGTCGTCACCATTGCCCAGGTCAACACATCATGAGGCTGTGAGGCTTCAGATGGCATCAGCAGAACCACCAGATGGCATCAGCGTGCAACTCAAGAGACCGAAACATCGCCATCTGGTGGTGTACAGAACCAGCTCTTCTCATGTTCGGCTGATGATGCTCATCAATACAAAAGCGATTCTTTCTTTGGCCCCCTAAGTACATATAATACATGTATACTGTATACGTAGTTACATATCCCGAGCACTCCTTTGCTAGTGTTCTAACATATTGTAGATGTTGTTTTCCGAACAGTATCTTTCAGCCTTCCAGCGACTGCCTGCCTTTTTGCATGGCACGCTCAACTTTTGGAGGTTATTGCAGCATGGATTCCGTACATGGGGTTCGCCCAAACTCCGTTCAACTG